TAAAGCAATTTTTCTTTTCCTGGTCACTAATTGCAATCTTATCTTCTATATCTGAAATTCTGTCCTCACATTGGTTCATTCTGCTGTGTAGACTTTTAATGGAGTTTTTAATCTCCCAGAAATCTGTTGAATCTGTTTTATGGATTCCATTTATTTCCTATGTTGGGATTCCATTATGTTCCTCAGCTCCTCTATTTTTTTAATCTGTGTACTCTTTAGATTTATTAATCATGTCTGGCACTATAGGCACAATCTCTGCTGTTATCTGAGAAATTATTTCTGATTTCATTTTTTCCAGATCCTCTTTTTTTGCCAGTTCAGGGAGTCCAGGTGGTTTAGTATCAGATTGTTCCATCTCATTTCCCTTTGGGGTTGCTGTAGGTGATTTGGAAGTCGTTTTTTGAGGCTTGTTTACGTTTCTTCTCATTTCAATGTGGGGAGGTGCTGCTATCACTCGTGCAGCTCACCTCCTCTGCCTTGGGAGTGGTAGAATGGTGACTGGGGAGCCTCCTCCTGGGCACTGGGATTGGCTCACCTTCTCTGCCCTGGGAGTGGTGGAATCTATTACTTCATCTTTTGGGTGAGCAAATTGAACTCTAGAATTTTATAATTTATCCAGGCTGGTAAATGGCAGAGCTAGGATTTGAACCCAGATCTTCCTGGTTCTAAACGCCCTGCTTTTTTCACTGCATCTTCATCCTGTGCCCTGTGATTCAAGGTAGTCTTCCTTGCAATATTCAGTTTAGTTCTAGTTGATAAAACTTCGCCAAAGATACACATACTTGCCATGCTTTCTGCTAGTTCTTGAAAACAAAAAGTACCAGACCTGACTCCTGACTTGAGAGACTCCATATTTATTACAAGAGTCAGACAAAGGAATAGGTGATTGACCATAAAACTCTAGGATGTAGGTTTCTTTCTTGCTACTCCCAAAAGTAGCAGTATTGCCTTGTGTATCCCTGAACCATTTCTTTAGAAGAAATAGCTATGACTTGGATTAAAACTATAAAACATAGGATAAAACGTTCTCAGGTCATGAATTCACTTAATCCTCCTGTGGCTAGGATTAGAGCCAAGACCAGGTTCAGCCAGGCTTGGCACAGGAGTAGAAGAAGATGGCAAGCTGTGACACCTTAGTTACAGCAGGAAGCGTGGAGTTTTCAGTCCCTAGGGTAGAGTAGGGGTGGTTCCAGGCCCATTACTAGCTAGCATGTATAACAGGAACAATCTAGTAGATTTGTATTCATTCTCTTGGTTTTCCACTTGCGTATGACTTTGGGCAAGTTACTCAACTCTGTCTCAGTTTTCTTATATACAGATGGGAGCTAGTAATACAATGATTTCTTAAGGTTGTTGTGAGGACTAAATGAGATATTGTATGTAAAATGTCAGAACAGTACCAGATAACAGTACACAGTTCCTTAGTAAATGCTAGTTCCTTTCTCTTTTCACTCATTGCTTAGAAGTAGATGGCATTCCAGTTCATAGGTGTAAGTAGATTGCTCATCAGTAAATAGACAGTAGAAAATATGCTAATGTTTATTTTGATTAGTCAGACAAAGTCTAGCACAACTAGTAGAAGTGATCTAAAAGAGAGCCCTAAAAACTCCTAGGTTTATAGCAAACATCTGATTTTACAAAGAAGGAAACTGAGGTAGTTCCTAGGGAGAAACCAAGCAGCTTATGATCAGACAGGGGAGTCACTGGTAGAACTGAAGCCTTTCCTGAACTCCTGATCACAGTGACTCATTTCCTGTCTTGTAGGTGGGCTTTTTAAGGCCAGAGGAGGAAGTAGCTGCTCTGGTTTGCTGAGATAGGAGTGTGAACTACACATTGTGATATCACAAATTTTTCTTCTGCCTGGAGAAATAAAGCTATATATCAGAAAAGAGCACCAACCTTACAGTGTGGTTTAGGGTTAACTATTCACTTATGAGACCCAGATGAATGGTTTTTTAGCCTTTCATATCTTATATCCCTTCCTTCTATACTCACTGTGTTCCAGCAAGAGAAATAATGTCCAGTTTTTCCTAGGTCCTTTTCTTGTTTACAGACTCTGTCTCATTAAAGTTATCATTGACAGTGTAGTCGAAGGTCATAGCAAATTACAGTAACCTTACTGGAAGTAAATTGTATTGCAGTGACTCAAATACATGCTAACAGGACTAACTCAATTTTTATTATCAGCAGGTTTATATATATAATGATACTAGGTTAAGATTAGAATTATTCACAAGTCCCCAGAATCACTGGGTCATCTGGCATGACATTTTGACCTGGGCTGTACAGGAAAGTGCATTTATAAGTACTGGGAAGTGGACATAGATTATATATAGGAAAATCCCAGGAAGGAGAAGTCCAACAGAAAATTTATAGATGGATGTAGGAATTATCACAGATGGGCAATCCTTTGAGGGTAGGGTTCTTAGGATATGGGGAGAGTGAACAAATTCTTAGTAAATGTTGTGTGCCTTTCCGTATTTCTGTTGAGACTCTGTTCTGAAGTTCAGAGGGGAGCAATCAGCAAGAGCTGAAAGTGTTCTGGATGAGATGGGAAATCCTACTGAAAAACTTCTTGCCTTTGCTGTCAGGAACTGACCCCTGCTCTTTGCCCCAACAGGCTAGCTGTAACCAACACCACTATGACAGGGACTGTGCTGAAGATGACAGACCGGAGCCATCGGCAGAAGTTGCAGCTGAAGGCCTTGGACACAGTGCTTTTTGGACCTCCTCTCTGTGAGTCCTGTGTTAAGTACTGCTGTGCTATGGAACCCAAAACTGCTGGAGTATGTGAGCTGAAACCCTGGGTCTCCTAAGCACACCTGCAAGGCAACTCCTTCACTATTTCCACTGGCAATGAGATAATGAAGCAGTCTTCTATTTTAGGCCAGCCAGATATCAACTTCCGTTCTTTAAATACTTTAAGGAAATACTGTGTCTGTGGGGTGTGGTGGTGCATACAAGTAATCCCAGCACTTGGGAAGCTGAGGCAGGAAGACTGTTCTTAAGTTCAAGGCCAACATGGGCTACATAGTGAGTTCAAGGCCAGGCCAAACTACATAGGGAGACTCTGTCTCAAAACCCAACCAAACAAACAAACAAAAAAACCCCCTACTTTCTGCTTTTGGAAGACCTGGATGAATCACAATCTTCTTTAAGGGATAAAATGAGCATTCTAGGGCTGAGGAGGTAGCTCAGTGATAGAGTGCTTGCCTAGTAAGTGTGAAATCCTAGGTTCAGTCCCCAGCACCACATATTAAAAAAGTGTTTTCTAGGACTGGGGATTTAGCTCAGTGGTTTCGTCCCCTGCTGTGCAAGCGCAAGGTCCCAAGTTTGATCCCCAGTACCAAAAAAAAAAGTGTTTTCTAGACAGGTGCACAGACAATGCTTTTTTTTTTTTTTTTTGGTGGTGCCGGTTATCGAACTTGGGTCCTTGCGCTTGCCCAGCAGGCAGCAAAACCACTGAGCTACATCCCTGGTAATGTTTTTGAGGCCCAGAGGAAGTATAGAGAAGGCATCCCATAAAAGAGGTGGTATATGACCTCTGTCTTTAAGGACAGACAGAGCTTTATTCCATGGATGTACCAGAAGAGGCCATTCTAGATGGAAGAAACAACCTGAACAAGAGTACAAAAAAAAAAAAAAAAAAAAGGAAAGGAAGGAAAGGTGTGCTTAGTTGCTCAGGGGTGTTAAGTAACCCATAAGAGGGTGAATGTCATTTAGTTCTTACCTGTTCTTACCATACCCATGAAGAGTAAAGAAGCTGATGGCTGGATATCTTTGTGTTCTTGAATGACCAGTGAAGACTAATGGGCTTTCCTGGAGCAGTAGAGACATACTCAGGCCTAAGAAAGGTTAGTCTCTTCAGCCAGGTCCTAATTGAGAACATTAAGTATTTTTTAGTCTCTTGCAATGTACATAGTAGGAATGGACATCCCTGCCATCCTTTTTCTTATTTTAAGTGAACAGAGTGGTAAGATTTCTTAGGAAATTAGCTTGACCACACAGATTCTTAGGACCCACTCCCTGCCCTTTGGGAGCTGCTGGCTTTAGTGGAGGGTGCCAGAATGCTGTAGAGACAGGATCTAGTCCAGAGAAGTAACTGGCAGGCAGATCAGAGGCAATACAGTTCCCTGTCCATGGGTGTGACTTGGTACGTGCCCAAGCTGATCTCTCAATACAGGTGGGTCTATGCTTTTTGAAAGTGTGAGATAGATAGAATAACCTGGAAGAAGACTGTTCCTCCACCTGCTTTGTTCCTTTTTCAGTGGAGTTTTAGGATACATTTCCTCACCAGTCATTGACAGATGTTGAGTAAATGACACAATGAATGGCTGTACTTTTTATGTGAGGCCTACCCTCTGTACTGATCAATGGCCTTCCATTCATTAACATTTGTTGAGCACCTGTACATGTCAACAATACAGTCAATGGTCAACAAATATAGTAAATGTTATAGCTATTGTATAAGTCTTTGCAGAGTTTAGTTGAGGGTACAAAATAGGGAGGGATTTCCTATTGGAGTTCAGGAAGCTTTATGGAAAATGTAATTCTTGAACTGAGATTTGAAAGATGGGAAGTAGCCTTATTAAACTAACCATTATCAGCATGCACCCCTCTTTTTTTATACCACCAAAAACACTTACTCCAGAAGAATTATACCCAGCAGTAAAAGTTGGGCCACTTTTGCAAAGGCTCTTCTCTGCCATCCACCAAGGGGATGCCTCAAGCAGCCTGCAAGTCTTCTAAGATACATTATCAGGTCATGTGTGTTCTATGTCAAAGCAGGGATTTACAGTCTGAAAGGGTACTTTAGATACTTCTGGTCAAAAGGCAGGATTCTTTCTGGAAAAGTCAGCTAGCATGCTTACCAAAATCCTGTCTCCATGATACCGGATCCAGGAGATCAGAGTCTGTGAGGTGGGGGCCCTAGTGGAGCAGATTAGACTGATGCTAGGTCATGGGTATTTTTCTTTTAGGCCCATTTCATGCAGCCTGTGTACTATGCATTCTCTAAACAAAGGGAGATCAGAGATGAGAAGATTACTCTGTTCCTGAGATAGACAGAACAGAGATGTTAAAGCTAAGTATAATGGTCAGCCATGGTGGTGCACACCTGTAATCCCAGCACTCAGGAGGCTGAGGCAGGAGGATCACTGCAAATTCAAAGCAAACCTAGGCTAATAGTGAGTTCAAGGCCAGCCTGAACTATATAGCGAGACCCTGTCTCAAAAAAACAAACCAAACAAACCAAACCACATCTCCACCAAAAGCTAAGTACATATTTCATACAAGCTAGGATAGCTATAATGATAAAAATAATACTAGTTTTTAAAAATTGGAAAATAACTAATGTTGGTGAGAACATGAAAAATTTAAACCCTTTTACCTTGGCTGGTGAGAATGCAAAATGATTCACTTACTGTGAAAAACAGTCTGGTGGTGCCTCAAAGAGTAAACATAGAATCATCACCACATAACCCAGCAATTGTACACCTAGGTGTGTATCCAGATAATTGAAACAGGTACTCAAGCAAGTACATGTACACACAGGTTCACAGCACCAATCACAAGAACCAACAGGTAGAAGTAGCCCAAATGTCAATTAATGGATAAAGGGGTAGATTTTGTTATACAGTATAGATGTAATGGAGTATTATTCAGCCATAAAATGGAATGAAGTTCTGATACGTGCTAACTGTGGATAAACTTGGAAAATATTATGCTAAGTAAATGACAGACACAGTCTGTAATCCCAGCTACTCGGGAGGCTGAGCCAGGAGGATCACGAGTTTGAGTTCAGCCTGGGCAACATAATGAGACCCTGTCTCAAAACAAAACGAACTTTAAACAGAAGAAATATAAAAAATGCCTAGTATTGCAAAGGATGGGGGGACAATGGAAAGACACAGATGACCACATATTGTATGTTTCTACTTTATAAAACATCTAGATTAGATAAATCCATAAAGACAAAATGCAGATTTCTGGTTGACAGAGGCTGGAGAAAGGAGGGAGTGGGGAGAAGCTACTTAATGTGTAAGAAATTTTACTTTGGAGGAATAGACATGTTTTAGAACTAGATAGAGGTGGTGATTGCATAACATTGTGAATGTACTGTATGCCCCCAATTGTTTATTTTTTTAATTTTTATTTTTACTAGTACATACTGATTACATTCATCATGGGGAATTGCTACATTTACATGATATATCTTTTGTTTGTTTGTTTTGTTGTTATTTTGAGACAGGGTCTCACCATGTAGTACAGGCTTGAACTCACTGTGTAGCATGTGCTGGCCGTGAACTTCCTGTGATTCTCCTGCCTCAGCCTCCTGAGTGCTGGGGTTACAGGCATGTGCCTCCAAACCCAGAGACATGATACATCTTAATTCTTTTTATGCCTTCTTCCTCTCCCCTCCCTCACTTTAAAATAGTTAATTCTATGTTATGGAACTTTTGCCTCAATAAATTATTTTTTAAAAAAATCTAATCAAGGGCCAGGGATTTAGCTCAGTGGTTCTGCCACCTGCCTCGAAAGCACAAGGTCCTGAGTTCGATCTCCGGTACCAAAAAAAAAAAAGAAAAAAAGAATCTAAGCAAAACAAAAAGTAAATAAATTGCACTTCATCAAAATTAAAAAAGTTTTGTGCTTCAAAGAAAACATCAAAAAAACCAAAGAAGGCTGAGGCAGGAGGCTCATTGTGAATTTGAGCCCAGAAAAAAAAAAAAGAGAGAAAAGAAAAAACAAAGAATACATCAAGAAAGTGAAGATAATCCACAGAATGGAGAAAATATTTACAATTATTTTTCTGACAAATCTCTACTGTCCAGAATTTAAAAGGATTTCTAAAACTCAATAAAAATAAAACCCAGTGAAAAAATGGATGAAGAATTTAAACATATATTTCTCCATGACCAATGTCTTAGTTACTTTTTGTCATTGCTGAGTCAAAATACCTGACACCCAAGGTTAGAGGGGGAAAGGCTTATTTGGCTTTCAGTTTGTAGAGGTTTCAGTCCATAATCAGCTGGCAGGGAGGCAGAAGGGCAACAGTTCATAGTGGCGGAAGACATCAAAAACAACAACAGACCTTAACAGTGTCTTCCTACCCCTTTAATCTTATTCGGACTACTTAGGGCAGGTAGTACTCACACCCTTAATTCTAGTGCTCTTGGGCCTAGCATTGCACCATGAATCAACACAATCTAGATTCAGACACCTCCAAAATAGCCCCCCATCTCATTCACATGAGGCTTTAGGGGGACATCTAGACACAAGCCATAACAGCCAATATGTACCTTACATGATGGTCAACATCATTCATCTTCAGGGAAATGCAAATGTGCAAACCCAACCAGAATGGGGTCTTACAGCTCACCTTCTAAGTTGACTGTAATAAAAAAATAGGTAATATCCAGGTGCAGTGGCATAAACTTATAACCTCAGCTACTTGGAAGGCTAAGGCAGGAAGATCATCAATTTGGGGCCAGACTGGGCAACTTAGTGAAACCCTCTCTCAAAAATTAAAATTAGAAGGGCCAGGGATTTAGTTCAGTGGTGCCATCGCCTGCCTTGCAAGCACAAGGTCCTGAGTTCAATCCCTGGTACCAAAAAAAAAAGAAAGAAAGAAAGAAAAGAGAGGGGACTAGGGATGTAGCTGCTCTGCAGTGGTAGGGCACTTGTGTAGAATGCGTGACGCCATGGGTTCAATCCTCTGCCCCCCCCATACACAA